TGCAGATGTAAGAAATAATACAGTGATTCCATGTATCTTTTACCCAATTTTCCCCAAGAGTAATATCTTGCCAAACTAATATTATAATATCACAACCAGGATATTGATATTGATACAATCAAGAGAGCATTTTCATCACTACAAGGATCCCTCATATTGCTCTCTCATAGTCATGCCCACTTTGCTTCTGACCTCACCTCTCCTTAGTCCCTGCCACCACTAACCTCAATCTTTATAATTTTCTCATTTCGGGAATGTTATATAAATGGAATCATACAGTATATAATCTTTGGTGTTCATCTTTTTTCATTCAACATCATTCTTTGGCGATCAATCCAGAATGTTAGGATATCAATAGTCTGTTCCTTTTTATTGCTAATTAGTATTCAATGGTCTAGATATACACAGTTTTTTACATAATTCACCTGTCGAAGGATATCTGGATTGTGTCCAGTTTTGGGCTATTCCAAATAAACCTAAGTAGATAAATATTTTTGTACAATTTTCATATGAACATGTCTTCATTTCTCTGGAGTAAATGCCTGGAAGTACAGTGACTCTGTTTTGTGGTAGTTGCATGTTTAGTTTTATAAGAAATTGCCAAACTGTTTTCCACCTTGGCTGTACCACTGTAAATTTCCACCATCAATATATGAGTGATTCAGTTTCTCCACATCCTCACCAGCATTTGGTGTTATCATTATTTTTTATTTTAGCCATTCTGATACCTCTTTGGTTATAATTTGCATTTCCCTGATGGGTAATAATGTTAGACATCTTTTCATGTGCTTATTATAGGTCTATCTACTTCAGTGAAAGTTTTTGCTCATGTTCTATCTGGATCATTTGCTTATTTTTTTAACTGTTGAGTTTTGAGTGTTCTTTATATGTTCTGGATATTAGTTCTTTGTTGAATATGTGGTTTGCAAGGATTTTCTCCCACTCTATAACTTGTTTTTTCATCCTTTTAACAAGCGCCTTTCACAGAACATTTTTAATTCTGATGAAATCCAGTTTATCAACTTTCCTTTTATAGACTATGTTTTAGATGTTAAGTCTAAGAATGCTGCCTAGCTCTACATCATGAAGATTTTTCTCCTAGGTTTTTTCCTAAAACTTTATAGGTTACATTTTGCATTTAAGTCCTTGATACATTTTCGATTTGTTTTTTTTATATAAAGTATGAGATTTAGGTAGAAGTTCATTTTTTACTTATGGATGTCCAATTGCTCTAGCACCATGTGTTGTCAAGGCTCTTTCCTTGGCATATCTATGTGGGTTTGCTTTTCTGTTCTGTTGACATATATGTCTATACCTCCACCGATATCACACACTTTAGATTACTGTATAATATGGCTTAAAATTGTTTTAGCTATTCTTATTCCTTTGTCTTTCCATATATGTTTAGAATAATCTCATCTGTATCTACAAAAAATCTTGCTGAGATTTTAATAGGAATGCATTAAACCCATATGTCAGTTTGGGGAGAATCGATACCTGTATACTCTCTTGAGTCTTCTAAACCATGAGCACGTATGGTGGTTATCGAGTGCTTCTGTATACCTGCTTATTTTCTGTCTAGTTCTTCTCTCAATTGTTGATAGAAGAGCGTTGAAGTCTCCAACTATAATAGTGGATTTGTTTCTTTCTCCTTTAATTTTTACCATCTTTTGCTTCACCTGTTTTACAGCTCTGTTGTTTGATGCACACGCATTTTAGGGCTATGTCTTCTTGGTGGAACGACCTTTTTATCATTATATATTGTTCCTCAGTGCTCTGAGTCACTTTATTTAATATTAATGTAGCCACTCTACCAGCTTTCCTTTGACAAGTATTTGCATGATATAATTTTTTTCATCCTTTTACTTTCCACCAGCCTATATTATTATATTTGAAGTTCATCTTTTTAGATAGTATACAACTGGGTCATGTTTTTAATCCAGTCTGCCAACCTCTGTCTTTTAATTCGTGTATTCAAACCCTTTATATTTCATGTTATTATTTGTAGGTTACATTTGAATGTTTTTTAAAATTCCATTTTTATGTATCTATAGTGTTTTGTTTTTTTAATCATAGCATTTTTTAGTGTATCTCTTTGTGTAGCATTTTTAATGGTTGCGTTAGGTATTTTATATATATATATAAACATCACGGTCTGCTGATGTCATTTTAAGTCTTGCTAGACTGCTTCTTTCCTGGTTCTTTGGCTAGAGAGAACAAGCCTTTGTTGGTCTTTTCTTGTCTGCTTCCATTAGCATTTCCAGGTTGCTGGTGTCTTCAGCTTCGAGTCTAAGATATATGAGATAAAAAGAACATCCAAAGAATTCAACATGTCATTCCTCATGTTCCGAGGTCCCCAGCCAATCTGCCTTTTTCTCTCTACCTTTCAAAGTCTTATGTTTGTTTTGTATATAATGTCTGAGGTTTTTAGTTGTACTTAGTGGGAGAAATAGGGAAAAGTACATCTACTCTGTCTTTCCAGAAGTGGAAATTTCTCCCGGTTTTATTTTTGATCTAACATAGAATTAAGGTTAATTTTCTTTTTCTTTACTATTCTGAGTATACCTGTGACTCTGACCCAGCCCACTGGATCCATCCTTGGAATTTACCTCATAGGAAGTGTGGGCTTATAGCTAGACTGTCACAGTTTTAGGCCAGTGCCTTTAATCTACACCATCTTTCTTTCTTGTGCCTTTCCTTTATTCTCCTTTGATGGCATCAATTTCAGAGAGCTGCTGCTAGTAGATACCTCTTAGCCACAAGATGGTGCCCCAGAGTAGTTCAAGCTAAGCCATTTTTGCTCTTCCTCAAGCCTCTATCTTTAATTTAATATTAGAAAACTCAAGGCCATTTATCTAAACCTAGATATAGATGTGAAGACCCAATTGTGTTTTTTTAAGCCATGTCTTCCCAGTTGCATGGAAACTTAATCAGTATCAAATATTGTTTTTGTTTCAATTTTTTTATACGATAACTTTGTGGGAATCCATATGGAAATTTTAAAAATTGTCATTCCTCTTAATCTAGTTGCCATTTTATATTTGGGGTTATTGAAAGTAATCTGTAATCAGCATAGCTTTAAGAAAGGAATGTGAATGTTATAAGTGCATTCTGAAGGAGATGCACTCTCAATGTCTTAAGGTGTTTGAATCCATGAACTAAACTTTCTTAGTGTAGATGTTTGCTTTTGATTAATAGCTTAACTTTGAAAACAATAGCTTATACATTTATATAAAATTGCCTAGAATAAAAAGACTAATAAATACATGTTAACAATTTTGGGGTAGTAAGGTACAAGTGGTTTCTTCTTTTATCTTCCTTCTAGCCTATATTTTTCAAGTTTTCAAAAATGAGCTACTTTTATGATGCATAAAAATAGGTGTGTGCATATTCCTCAGCTAATCAGAAAATGTTTATTAACCATCCAATATATGTAGAGCCAGCATATATATTTTCCTAGGCTTGATAGCTGGGCAAGAAAATTACTAGGTACTCTCACCAAAGGCAAAGACCATATCTTTTAAAATTGTGTAGGCTGTGATATCTACCATGTGCCTAATATATAGAGAGGTCTGAGAAATAACTGTTGAATAAACAGAAGCCATTATTCCTAGCTTTGAAGGAAAGAATTATATTTTATTGGTTGTAAAGCTTTGGGTTTAGAGTCCTCGCACTGGTCTTAGTGTACTTCTCTGCTTGAGTATTGGCTCACATTCAGTGAGCAAGTTGTGTCTATTCTGTCCCTTAATTCTAGAATTAATCAATTGGCACAATAAAACCAAATATTGTTTCCTAAAATAATGATAATAGGATAGACAAAAATACACACACAATATAAATGCAAAGCATTAAACAGTAATTTAAAAATTAAGCCCCTGTTAATTTATTATTAGATTGTCAGAATAGTCTACATGTTTATTAGACATAACAGGTGCTAAAGAAATATTTGAAAACTGACCAAATGAATGAAATTTTATGGATTAAAGAATTTTAAATAATATCCTGAAAATCTGCATGGGAAGAAATTACAAGTAAAGGGAAGCTAAACTAAAATCAGTGCCTTTTCCAACCAAGACTTAAGAATTTTAAGGATCTTTTCAATGACTTGCAACTTGTGATTTTGTAGGCCCAACATCTGATAAATTAAAGAATTTTTGTATTTCTGATATACTATTATGTAACACAAATTATAATTTTCAGTAGCTTTTATTTCACTTAGTATAATAGCTTACTTAGTTTAGTAGGTTTTACATGAAAGTAATCTATGGACTTCTCCTTATGAAAGATTGAATATAGGCAAGCTCACCAAAGTACTAGATTTACTAAAAATATAAGTCTAGAGTTTTGAGAGGAGTTCATTTGCACACAAGATGTGGGAAGTGGAGAAAATGGGGGTAAATTTGTTGACTGGAAAATAGGCTAGAGGATGGAAATTAATAGACCTTTCGGAGGAAAAGGATTCCAATGAAACGTAATAGTGTTAGCACAATCATGACATGAAAAAGCTGACTGAAAAGTCACTATCTAGTCCAGCTACTTACAAACTTTCTAAATAAGAAGTAGAACCATTTATTTAAATGAAAACTTATGTAGAACACTAATATGTAAATATACAAAAGCTGAGCAGTTTTAGTTGAAACAGGGTTGGGAGTGTATACGAACCAAACCCCATCTTCCTTGGCTTCCCTTTCACTATCCCAGTGGGCTCTAGGGAACACAATTTGAAAACAACTTATCTAGTCTATGCTTATTTAGAACCCTCCCACTCCCGCACCAAGATCCAATGGAGCCTGACCCTTAGGCAGGTGTTAGACATTAATTTGAAAGCAGGAAGCATTTTTCTCAGGCTTATGAAGATGGAAGTTATTTTAGGAATATTTTCTTACTTCATACCAGAAGAGAGTATTTCACCGCTGAGATTACCTGCTGGAAGAATCACTCCACTTACTTGAGATTCTTCTTCCCTTGACCTTCTTTGGGGCTGGCTTTGTGTTTTTTAGCTCTTGAATGTGGTCTCTCAACTAGCCAAGCAAAATCTGCAAGTGCTGGTCCTGGGCCGGAAGCACATGCTAACACCGTGTGCCCGGTGGAGAAAGGATGAGATGGAAAAGGTGCAAAAGCAAGCCAGCTGTTTCTTTGCTGACAACATGTAAGTACTGAAAGTAATAAGTGAATTACACGAGGCTCCATCATCTGCTTGTTAGCTACCTATTTGTGTAATTTTTAAAGTACATATATGTATGTATATTCAGCCTCATTTCAAAAAAAAAAGATTTGAGGCCCTTACAAAAATAATTTCTACAGAGGAATAAACTTAAATAGATTAAGAAATCAGGATAAAAGAAGAATGAGAGGAAAGTAAAATCAGAAGTGAGATTAGCCTGCCATAAGGTCCTAAAGAGATCATTTAACAAATATTTTACAAATATGAGCGCTTTCTATATTCTTGGAAAAACAACAGTGAACAAGACCTAGTCCCTGACCTCTTATGACTTACAATAAACAAGTAAACAAACAAACAGGTCATGTAATTCCAGGCAATGATCAATTTTATGATGACAATAAAGCAGAGTAAGTAGATAGAAAGGGATTAGGTGGGGTAATTCAGAGGGTAGCGGATGGAGTGGTCAGGAAAGGAGCAGGCAAGTCTGAAAGAATGGAGTCATTTGAGAAGGGGAGAGGTATTGGGAAGAACATACCAAGTAGAGAGAACATAAAAGTGTTCAAAAAGCCCTGAGACAGGAATGAGCTTAACATGTTTGAGGAAAGCAAGCAGGTCAGTGTAGATGGAAGGAGTAGGATTGAGGTCAGAGAGAAGACAGGGACCACATTACAGAGGACTTTGTGGGCTCTTTGGCAAGCAAGGGTCCTGGATTTTATTCTAAATATAAAGAGAATATTGCTATGAGCTACAGCTTCCCAGGAAACCAAAGGAACATGGAAAACATGGTCAGCAACAAAATGTACTGTGTCCATAAAGTAAGAAGAAAGCAGCCAAGGAGGAGCACAGATCCTCAACAGCACAAATGCATTTTGTTTTTCATACTCAATGCTGACAAAAGTTTATTTCCAGCTTTGCGTGGATAAGAACTATGCCTCAGCCCCAAGTCGGTTTCATTAGGCTGAATGTGATAACTTCCAAATTCATCAGTATTCCCCAAATCATTTATTCTTATAAAGGTAAAATGACTGTCGAAGCATGAAGCAGGAAACTAACCCCTCATTCCTTTTTCCTTTAGCTAAGTTCTTTTATTCATTCATGGGAGAGGTGCTTCCATCTCTCTCAAAGTAGAAGACAGTAATTATGTTCTTCATACAATCACGTTAGACAACACTGGGTAAACATTAGAAGTGCAGGCTTGGGAATTTGTCTATCCGGTTTCAGGTCATGGCCCTGTCACCTTCTATCTGGGAAGGTGTTTCCCTTCTCTGTGTCTTCTTTTTTCATATGTAACCCTCATGGGGATGTTGTGAAGATTAAACAACCTAATAGTTGTATATGATACATATAAAACCTTTGGCACAGCACCAAGTACATGGAAAGCATATATGTAAGTTGCTGTCATTATCATTATTAGTTTTCTTAGGTGGAAGAATTAGATAAATGTGAAGTGTTATAACCAAGAAGCCTGCTGGAAATTGGTCTCGTGCTTGATTTGGGGCCTGTGTTTATTGTAGCCACTGAAGTTCCAAAACCAGTTGTAAAGATTGATTCATTGGCTTTCTGCGGCTTTGTATTTGAATATTAAAATTTTAACATTAACTCTATTTTCCACTAATGTGCCAAAGAAACCTTTTCATATATACACTAGAGTGATTATAGTGAATCTCCACATAACTCACCCAGCTCCAAAAATTACCATTGTTTGCTAATTTTGTTCTGTATAACTTTTTTTTCCTCTCTTTTTCCTGGAGATTTTTAAGGCAGATTCCAGTCATTTTATCATTTCACTTGAAATACTTCAGTATAAGATAAACAGAAAATAGTCCTACTTTGGGTCATTTGGATCAAGACATAAGGCATATCCCATGTAGCAGTTTGAATCTCCTGAGTCAAGGTAGCTACTGCTATTTTTACAGCACATGCACTAAGGTGGTAAGTGCTGATGCTGCGGGTTCACTGGAGACTGAGTCACTGGTTCTTCTCAAAGCAAGAGATGCTTTTGGCTGCTGATCTGGATAACTACCCAGAAGCTACTTTGAGGTACCAGTTTTAGCTTCAGGGCAGCCTGTTATTTTTGTTAGCTTGCCAGAAAGTGTCATCCTGTCCTACCAGTATTATGAATGTTTCTTGAATTTGAGTGAGGATTGAGTGGGAAAAGTGTGCTCTGTTGTGAATGGGGCAAATCGGAAAAAATGCCCTAGGAACACAGAGAACCAACATTTGAGTGAAAAGAGAATTATTGTTAGAATCCTTTTTTCTAGTGGGAAAGCCCAATTGAGGTATTAAGTGTCTGAAGCATTAGCATTCCCTTTCCCTGTCTTTCCATCTATGTTCTAGATAGTGTTGCCTGCCAGCTGAGGTGATTCATAAGTATCACTGAGGTCATCTCGGTTAAGAACGCAGAGCACTTCTGAGGGAAGTAGAATAAGTAGTCAAAAGCATGGGAAAGAATGCTGTCCTCTGCCTCCGCAGGGGTGTGCTTGATTGTGTCCTTTCTTATATCTGGCACAGCTCAGAGGATGATCCATTCCTTCTGTATGCCACACTGCACTCAGGGAGTCACTGCAAATTTATCACAAAAGATCTGATGCGTGACCACAAGGCCTGTCTACCTGATGCCAAGACCCAACGCCTGTTCTTTAAGTGGCAGCAGGGACATCAGCTGGCCATTATTAATAGGCTTCCAGGATCAAAAATAACCTTTCAGGTATGTTTTCTGTTTCTAACGTTAACAGAATCAAGTACATAGTAAGAATGTGACACAAAAAATGCTACGACTAGGTGAAGGTTCTAAGTGTTTTATTTTTCTCAGTTGTAGTTTGGTATTTGGAATTAGCCAGTTCCTGGAAATAAAATCTGCTAGAGCAAAAGTTTTAATAGGTCAGCACCACATTAATTGACATATTGAAAACACCTGGGATGTCATCAATTGTGATTTCAATTATGTTATTAATTACAGCTTTTCATACATGGTTATTATTTTCTTATTTATTTGTAATAGCTCAAAATTCCTTATCCCTTAGGGTTTGTCATACTTCTACTTCTGCTAAGGAACTCCATTTTCCTGTTTAGTCCACTTCTATGGCATGGTCTCAGTTGAGTTTTCCTTTGATTCTAGTGTAGATACCCTTAAAAATAAGGAAGTCTCTTGTGTGAAAGCAAAGGAAGAACATCCAAAGGCAAGTTATTATAGAAAAATGTGTTAGCCAATGATAAATATGGTCCAATGGTTAAAAAAATATACGAAACAACAAATTCATAGGAAATATAGTATCAAATGATAACACAGAGATGCAGTCATCAAAATCAGGACTGTGGGAAAAAAATATAAGACAATTGACTTGATTTTCTCAACAACAAAAGATTGCAAGAATAGAGATGGAAAAAGAAGCTCTAGATTAAGAGAATTGAGAGATAATCCAGTTAGTCACAATTAGTTTCAATTTCTATTCAGATAAATAAACTGTAAAATATATGTGCACACACATCGTTGGAAATGTAAACAAATTTGATGTTAAGGAATTATTAATTCTTAAATGTAATCATGGTGCTGATCTTATATTTATAAAATAAGTCCTTTTAGAGATACATACTGAATTACAGAAGAAATGATATAATATCTGTCTTTGGGTATGAGAGGGTGGAGGGCAAGAGAAAGAAGTGGGTAGAGTATGGATGAGATAAAATTAGCTTTGAGTTGATAATGGTTGAAGCTGCGTGATGGATACATGGGAGTACATTGTACTATTTCTCTATTTTGTATATTTGAATTTTCCTCTGTTACATACAAAACTGATAAGGGAACAAAAGGAATACTGTATCGTGTGTGTGTGTGTGTGTACACCTGTAGAGAGTCCTTAACCTTAAAAATAAACTCCCCCAGAAAAGAAACTGCTAATGTTAGGGTTCATCCTTACAGAGCTAGCTGCTCTTTGAAAATCCATTGTTAATTAAGACAGAGAAGTCCGAAAAGGAAGGGAAATGGCCAGGTATCCCTTTAGCGTTGTTCTCAATGTTTGGTTCCCTTTTTAATTCAACAGCATATTCTCAGCTATGACACAGTGGTGCAAACAACTGGAGACTCGTGGCACATACCATATGATGAAGACCTGGTGGAAAGGTATTCCTATGAAGTGCCAACCAAATGGCTTTGCCTTCACAGAAAGACATAAAGACTGTCAGCCCCATGCTCAGTTTGTTTGGGTGCCCTCCTGGTTCACCTCCAAGCTCTTAAGTTGATCCTTGTTTAGACCATTGCTTCTGCCCTGGTTGATTGTTTTGTCCTGTTTGGTCCAATTGGTTTGTATGTCAGCAAATTGATTTTTTAAATTAAATGAGTTATAATTTCTTGTCATAACCAGCTGCATTTCCCCCCCCCCGCCCCCGCAACATTTGTTTTTGGAGGCGTAGCCAGAGTTGGGGAAGCCAGTGCAGAGCAAAGCCTATATTTCTTTTATTGGGCCATCTATCTCACTTACTTGGGAGACAGGTGCTTCTGGTATTCATTTTGCTACTCCTGACCTCACCTTCCAGGTTCACCTATAGCAGAACCAATCCATCTGGCCCTGAGCCATGGGTTGTTTCTAAACCCCTTCTTCCATTTCTGATGTCATCTCATTTTCTACATGTTATCTCCTACTCATGCTGATAAACCGGCCAAGATATCAAAGATTTATTAGTAACTCTTATCACCCAGTGATTTTGGGTTGGAGGAAAGGACAGTCCTTTCTCTGTAGACTATGATCTTTCTTCATCATTCTATGATGTCTTTTCCAAATTGGTTCAGCACTTTGTGAACACTATTAATTCCATCACTTGGTATAAGGGCTTTCTAAAGCATACAGATTATTTTCATCTAATTAAATATGACTTAGTTTAACAAAATGATTAAGGTTTAATAGTTACCTCTCTCTTTTACCCCCTTGCTAGCCAGCTGACACTTCACTGGGCCTTGATTTTGGCTGAAAATATTCATGTCTGCAACACTTTATGACAGTTATTTTCAGTTATTTTCATACTCATACCTACCAAATGATTTAATATTCAAGAACAGGCAAAATCAGCCTATGGTGATAAAAATCAGAGCAGTAGTTGCCTGAGGAAAGGGGCACAAGGGGAAAGTTCTGAGTGATGCCAACATAGTTATATGTAAATATGAGTCAAAATTCATCACACCAAACACTTAAAATTGATGCATTTACAACAATGTACTTCAAAAAAAGAATTATTTACATTAAAAAAAAAAAAAAGACCTCATTTATATAAGACGGTATACATGGATATAAGTAGGACATGTGTTAATGAATAGAGACAATCCAGGAAAAACCAAGGAGGGTATGTTTCATCTTCTTATCAATTTACTTGATTCGACACTGCTGCACACCTAAAGAGCTCTCCAGGAAAGTGTTTGATAATTGAGAGCATTGAAAGGTTCTGAGAGTCAGAAAGCTCTCATAAATCCAATCTGCTTATTTTCTAAATTTCATACACTGCATTCTTAGAAAATTTTCAGTGAGCCAAACTTTTTTTTAAGGAACTATTCTAATTTTTAAAAAATTTAAAAAAAGAAAAGAGCGTTCGATTTCTAAAAGCCTAGCAGATTTCTCACAAGGAACACAATAGAGATGGGGAAGGATACAAAAAGAAGCTAGAACTTTAGAGCATAAGTAAACCTTGAAGAACATAAAGTCCAACAGTAAGTAACATTTTATAGAGGAGGAACAGACCCAGAAAGATGGATCTCACAGATAGTTAGAGGAGACATTTCAACCATAACCCACCTCTTCTGATTCCTAGCCAACTATTCTTTCTTCTACTGTACACTGTGATTTAGGCTAGAGTAGTTTATAAAAACTCGGACAGACTGAATGGTAGAGCACCCAGTATTTACATTTAGAAACTTTGTTAGCCCCATAAGAGAAAAGGAGAATGAGAGGACGGGAACAGGGATTACCTTTTTAAGGGCCCACATTTCCAGAATGGCTGTCAGTGTAGAAATTGTGGTAGGGAAATTACATTATTTTTGAACTCTTTAATACCATTCAAAAACAAAACCCTAATATCTGCTTGAGGTAAATTGAGATGCATCTGTCTTTTGTCCAGGGGTGGGGGAACCATCCTAGGACCACTCAGAGTAAATCACACTAACACAGAACCCTGGGGAGTACAGGGATTCTCTGAGTAAAGGCAGCTGGTACCAAACACTTAGACAGACTGTCTTTTTGTATTCTGGTCACCTGAGTGAACAAGCTACCTGTCATGCAAGGTCCTAGACACTATGGGACGAAGAAATTCTTTAAAAGGCTGTACAGAGGACTGATAGTGTCTTTAAAGTCAACTGTAAACAATGAAGGTTGGGAAAGGGCACTGACTGCCACTGAAAAATATTTCTAAAGAGCTTTGTACTTCCTTCTGGCATGCTTCTGAATTTATACTATCTTTTCCTCCTGCTGTTTTCAGACCCAGTAGGAGAAAATCTCAAAGGAGAAGCCTCAGTTCATGTTCTCAGGGCTCTATTGGGACTACTTCTCCTCAGGTGCCTTGTTCTCCTCATGAAATTAACTTTTCAAGTTTGCACTTACAAATATAATTTGTTTCTTTGGTCCTCTAGCAGGTTTCTGCCTAAAGTACTATAAAATATATCATATGTGTTCGCATTAGATTTATTTTTCGTGATGGTTTCATTCTAAAGCAGAAATGGAAAGGAAGGGTGTGTTATGTAGGCACCTGAATTCCAGTCCATCATGGTGAGTCTTATCTTCATTTGCTAAAGATCAAAATTATCAGGGTAATTGAGGACAAAACTAAACGGTCCAGATCTGGTATTTTGCCCATCCTTCAGCAATTTGGAATTCAGAGTGAAAAACATCTAAGGGAGTCCTTGTTTGAACAACTGGGAGTATAAGAACATAAATCACTATGATGAAATGGTGGCATTTAGATTCAGGTATTCTTTCCAGGATGGGACCGACTTAAGCAGATAGAATTCTTAGTAAGAGAGAGGGACATTCAGCTGCTGGAGCCTCTTGTAGCCCACAGGTTGAGAGTGGGGTTGACAGATAAAATACAGGACTCCCAATTAAATCTGAATTTCAGATAAATAACAATTTTTTTAGTATAAATATGTCCCAAGTATTGTAGGGACACATACTAAAAATATTCATTGTCCATCTGAAATTCACATTTAACAAGGCAACCTATATTTTAATTTGCTAAATCTGGCAGCCTTAGGTGGGAATTACATGGGAGAGTGAGGGGTAGTGAGAAATGAAGCATCTGTATAGCCCAGCAGCCCTACAGGAGGCAGGAAGGGAACAAGGATAAGAAAAGGAGTAAAAGGCACCTGGCAAGGAATAAGAAGGGAGAGAAGATCAGCTTTTCCCTGCTATGTTCTAGCCAATGACAAGCAGTCTGCTTGAGTCTATACTATATAAAAGAAGGGAGTTCCATTAAGAGATAAGAGATCTACTTAGAAGAAACCATAGAAAATAGTGGGATGAAAGAAAACAGGAGACAGGAACACCAAAGAGTAAATGTAGTAAATCTTGAGAAATAATCTTTAATTTTCTCTTATCATTTCTATTTTTTGGTGTTTCAAGATTCCCTGAAGCCCTCTCCCAAATTTGTTGACAATATTTGATCCAGTGGGTGCTTCCAGAGACTCAGCATACACAACTCGCTTTCAACCGGGAATTGAAATAAACTGGAAGACAATGATCTAGTCACTGATGGCAGCTAAAAATAGTTTTGCTATCAGAGTACTCTCAGAAGTACAATGTTATCAAATGGATTAAGTTATTAAAATAACCATGATAATTTGTTGTAAATAGCAGTCATAGGAAGGTATTTTGGTAGCTTCTGACTAGGAAGTTGATGTACAGAGTTCATTTCAACCACATTAAAATGACTATCCAGTCACCTCTTTGGTGTTAGTTAAAATGCAGTCCAAGAAACAAATATTTGAGACATCACTGATAAGGGCTTTAATTTCTAATATGGCAGAGACATAAGTTCACTTTAAAGAGACCAGGTGAGAGTGCCCTATCACTCTCAGCTGGAATAGAACATTACTAGGTATCAAGTTCAGTTCACATCTACACATTTAAAGTCCATTATTAAAACAGGTTTCTTGTGCTTTTTGTGACGGCACCAGAACAGAGAATGTCAGTCTCCTGGTAGGTGCTAATGGAATTCCCTGACAATTCTGCTGTTCATTTGGCTCTCTGGGGCAGAGTGGTATCCTGGCCTAGGAGAAAAGAATGGGGCCTCCCCCTCCATAAAACAAGTTCCTTTGGAAGTGGTTATAGCAGATCTTCTGAAAGGTAAGTGCTTTGTCCACATTTGTTGCTTAAGATATACTGTATTACTAATTCTTTAAAAATGAATCATTTTTATATTTTCTTCTTCTTTTCAGTGACCTTGTCCTAGAATCCAAAGCTGCATTTTTTCCTATCTTCTGCTCCAAAGCTGAGCAGTCTATTGCTATTAAATTTCTATGCATCTGTATGTCTATTAGATATGTATATATATATAATTTTTAAAGGATTATCTCTGTGAGTTCTTAAGTAACACTTTTTTACCTAACAGAAAATGAAAACTTTCCCTAGTTCTAATTTTCTACCACTTCTTCCTCATGTACTCTAATCATAATCATGTAAATTCATAAAGAGAGGCAGCTAGGTTAAGCTAAAGCATTGCTTATTATTCGCATAGCTGTACAGTCACAAACTACTCCTCAAGGCTTCCTTGTGTTCAGACGGAAATTTGTGTTCCAGAAAGCTTTCTCTCCGATAATAGCTGTCAGCTCAAATAAAGAGTCATGTCCTTTGGCACTTAGTTCTGTTCTAGCAGGAGTGGTCAAATCTTTGAAGAAATGGGTCTTTTCCAAGTTAGGTCCTCAGAGTTGGAGAACTCTTAAAAAAATAAACTCTGGTCAGACCAAGAGAAAGTCTCAGGAAGAATTGTCACTTTACAGAGATAAAGAACTTTTTATCTTTTAAAGCAAATAACATGGCTCTTGTTTGTTGACACACCAAGGGAAGTTTATATGAGGAACTCAGTATTGAACAGTTTGTGCTTTATAAATGTCAATAGATTTTTTTTTTTTCTCTTTCACTCCCACTGCCATTATCCCCAGAGATTTCAACAGCATTCATATTCTGGTCTCATTGTTTCTTAACCTCTTAAATTGATTTTTGGGCCCCTGTGAGATGACCAACTTGCACCTTTTAAATTACTTAAAGGTGCCCCAGTTTCCGGATTTCAAACTTCTAAGTTCTTCATTTTGACCACAATCTGCTTACCTGCCCCTCTCCTTCATCCCAACCATCACTTAGTTCCTTGGCCTGTTCTTGGACCTATCCCTTCCTCACCCAGCGCCCTCTATTGTCCGTCCCTATCTGGCTTCACTTGCTTTCTTCTCCATCCCCATCCCTCTTAAAAAGCATTCATCTCAGGAATGGCTTCTATAACACTGCAGATTCTTTCATTCATTTTATCCCTAGTGGTGTCCATCTTAGCAATTCTAAACCTATTTTGGGATAGCCCCAGACCATTCCACTTCCTCCACTCCTGTACACCATACTATTGCTAGAAAATTCATGAAATTATACTGCTGGAACTTCACTTCCATTTAAAGGCCCACTTTTTTTTTTTCATATTTCATTGAATTCCATTAATTTCCTGCAGAACTCTACCAGCCTTTGCACTTTTAACTTGAATAGTAGCTCATCTCCTGGAGCCTCCATTTCCTTTTCTGTTAGGTGGGGAAGATGGGCTACAGTGGTACTTCTCAAACTTTAATGGACAGAGTCACCCAGGATCTTATTTAAAATGCTGAATTCAGGTCTGGTGTGCCTGGTGATGCCAATGCTGCATACTATATTTTG